GTTTTTAAGAATCACTATCAACGGTTTATAGTCTAAACACACCTCACTCGGACTTCAATTAGGACTTACCACACGACTATGATTTTTTTCGTTTCACTTTTCAACACGTCTAAACTGGACAATCTAAATAATCTCTAAATCTCTCTATCTCCACCAAAACTTAGGAGGCTTTGATACCAAGTAAGACTCGATCACTAAAACAAGAAACCTTAATGAAGAAAACCGAGAGTTGAGATTAATTCAATCAATGTTATCTCTAATCCAGAGATAAAAGACTTTATATGGATTAACAAGTTAGACAAGGTAATAATTAATATTAGTTCGTAAATTATACCACGAGTGGAGTATGAGTTATTATAATCATCAACATTTATTTAGATAAAATTAATTATAAAACATTAATGAATTTTTTATTTATTAGGATGATATATATACTCATATACTATCACAATTTTAAATAGGAGAATAATAATCATTTGTTATATTTTAATTTCATAAACGTGATGTGTATGTTTTGTCCATAGTTTTGTCAATACAAAAAGATGACGTCATTTTTTATTGAAAGATAAACTCCAACTATCGGTGGTTGTAAGTGAGGAGTAATGAAATGCCCATTATTTGTGAGCTACTTGAAGTGTGTTTTTAACATATTTCAAGTTTTCGATGGTACTTATAATATGATAAGCATAAGAAATTGAGTAAGTTCCGAGAAAATGCTCACATTTCTTTCAATATTGTCCTATATATTTGAGATTATTTTCAATGATGAATATATGCGATACTTGTATTTGCAAGTAATTATAGATTTTTTATGAATATTTATTGGTTCATGCTTGAGATTTTTCATATATAAATGGTGATTGAAAAAAAGAGAAGGGCGAGAGGGGGGGGGGTTTGGAATCGACTACATATAAATTCTTGCTATTGAATGTTTATAAATTAATGTTGCTTCACATGATTGTTTTTATTAAGACTTGAATGGTCGCATATTAATATAATTAAAATCAATTATGTTTTAAATGTTAAGTATTTTATGTGACTTTTGTTGAAGTTGTCATTACAATTTATGTTTGACAACCAAAGCCCATTGTGACGATATAAATAATTATGAAAAATAATAATCTTGTTAGTAGATTATTAGTAAAATAAATTGGCAAGATACATCATTTAATAAAAGACTTTTCATATATTATTTTCTATGTAATTTTTTTTTTGGATATATTATCTTAGTTTAAAGAAATATATCTTGCTAATTGTTAGGCTACAAAAAATACATTGCAAATGTTAATGATGAAATAATAGAATAATTCATGCCATCATCTTGTCTACAATGGTAATAAGAAAAATATTTATTATGTGAATAATGGGAGCATAAAAGATGCTATTGCATTAAAATTTGTTTGAAATAAATATTATGTAATTTTAGATAAATTATCATAATTCTCTTATGATGTATAATTTTTTTTGGCATATGCATTTTTAATTTGACATTGTTGGAGATAATTGTAAAAGCATTCTTATTATACAAAAAGTATAGTGATGCTTTTGAAATATTTGATAAAAAACATTCCTGTTATGCAAAAGATATAATGATACTTGTGAATTATTTGGTAAATATATTGTTGAGAGAATTGATAGAATTAGTGACACTTCGATTGTACAATTAATGTAGAATGATGTTTTGATGATATTATCCGATAAGTAAAATAAAAGACGCTCATACTTGTATAGTTAAGGTATATTAGTGTCATAATGACATTGTCCGATAAGACAAATTGTGATAACTTGAGAAATTTAAATTACTAGCTAAATATTGACATTTCTATTATATAGATGAGATACAATAATGTCAAATTTGTATAAAAAATTAAAGATTGAAATATATCCATATTTCATTTATCGGATTGCATTTAATATTTTCTATTGTATTAGAAGATACAATGATGCCATCATGTTTTAGCATGATGATGACGTAAAAAATAAATAATAGTATAATTATCATTAGCTCACATATATATGTAAAGCTTAATTGGCTAAAAGCCAAAGCCAACAAGGAGGCACATGAATGTTATGCTTTGTCTAAAGCAAAAAATAATAAGAGTGAAAAATTATTACCACTTGTTTCAAGCACTAATAAATCAATTGAGTGGTTATTACCTAATCTTTTAGGTATATATATTAAAAATTATGAGATTAAATTTTAGCTAAAGTTAAAAAATTAGATGATACATCAAGGAGGATGAGACTAAGCTTATAAAGTACTAAAATCACCTATTTAGATACTCTACTTAATGACTGGAGATCCTAATAATTAGGTTTAAAGAAATGAACAAGTAGTTTGATTATATGCACACTTTATTATTTGAGTTACAATACTCATATGTCCATTCTCATGATGCAATGTGTGAAACCCATAACGAAAGAAATGTTAAGTTTTTTTAAAATTTTTTTTTTAATGTGGTCCGTAGTTCTTTTAGAATAAAATGTTAGAGTTATGTAAGCATCATTGATAGACACACCTATATGAGTGAGGAAGTGGTGCCGTTTCCTATGAGAATAGATCTAATTCTATAAAACACTTGTAGAAACCCGGAGCAAGAACAAAGCCGTAATGTGCTAATTTTAAAAATTGTCGTATAGTATTTGAATATAGTATATGTGATACAATATTTGTTTTTTTTTTGGGTTTCCCTCCTAGTTGGAGGATGGCCCAAAGGTTTGCCTATATGAGCCTAATCTTGGAGTCCATGTGGAAGAGGAATTTTTAATCACTTAAAGAGTAATTTTAGTATTTCGAAATAAACCATATCTTCTATTTTATTTTGAAATCAGATTATGGAAGAAAAAAGAGAGAAAAAGAAAAGAAAAGGAGTGAGAGCTGCAATTTTTGAAAGAAAGAAGGAAGAGAGTTTCAACACGGATCAATCACGCTAAAATTAAGTTTTTGGATTCGTTAACCATTGGATCGAGCTCAAATTTGATGGGCACATTCAGGAGAGGCAGACGCACATTCTAGATGGTGGAGATCTAGTTTTGAGTCCTAGAGAGCGAGATATTATGCTCGTAACAATGTTTTTTTTTTGGTGAAATGCGAACTTAGTTTCTTCTACCTTCTTTGTATATCATCTTTTGATGTGGTTTGCCAAGGGTGTGTAACCTTTGATGTTTGTGGCTGATTATTCATCTAGTTTAATTTAGAGAGGATTCCTTGTACCCATTATTGTTGATAGTGGAAGTTATTGTGGACTTCGGTCCTGTGATTTTTCTCTTCTCAAATTGAGGAGGTTTTCGACGTAAAAATTTGTGTGTTCTTTGTGTGATTGTGATTGGTTGCTTATTTTTCAGATTATTAGTTATTTGTTTGGCTTAGGTATTTGGTTGATTGTTCAAGCAAGGACAAAGAGGTTCCGTTGTGTTATTTATGTTTCTTTGCCCAACAGTTTTCATAAAAAAATCTTAGTTCAAGACAATGTTTACTATTGACTTGAAAATAATATTGTTGAAACAACAAGTAAGGATTCAAACCATTGACACTCTTATTATATATTACATTCATTTTCTTATAAAAAAATACGGCTTATTAAAAAAAAAGGGGGATTGTTAGAATATGTTTTTTATAAAATATAGAATAATAATAATAATAATAATAATAATATATTCAATGCATGACATACTAGTTTCATAAGGTACATTAAAATGCTATTATTTACAATAATTTTATTTTATTTTTATTTAATTTGTTAATTAATTCAATTTTCCAACGAACAATTTCTACACTATATAAATGGGACTTTTTTTGAGACAACACGACAACAACAATAATTTTTACATTGTGTAGAAAGGAAAAATAGTACCATTTTTTCTCTCTTGCTTTGCTTAGGAAAAAAAAATATTTCTTTCAATATTGTCTTCATTTGTCTTCCACTAAAAAACCATATTACTTTTATTAATTCTTTCTTTAGTTAAGATTCGTACTATTTTATTTAAAGTTGTAAGTCTTATAAATAATATAAATTTATTATTCGAGTTGCAAGTCTTACAAATAATACAAATTTATTAAGACATAGTCGGATGATTGAACTTGTTGTATCCTTGAGATAATGTGCAACATATTTAACCCGTTACATCAAATAAATTCTACAAATAACACGTATCGTCTCAAAAAGCAACATAGTTGTATCTCGAGATAGCCACTTAAAAATTCTAGTAAAACTATTTTAATCGTTCGATTATCTTTATCCATGAAAACATGATAACATGATTTAATCCTTATTTTTTTTCCTAATATGTAAGGTAAAAAGTTTTAATTTTTTATCCATCTTAATTTACAATAAATTTATTTATTTATTGTATAAATTTTTATTAATTTATTAATTAATCATTTTTTTATTTGCTAGTAACTACAGTGAATCTTGTGAGATAAATTATTTTATTTTCACAATCTTATGCTTTTTGTTGGTGTCATGATAATTCATAATAATTTAAATATAAATATTCTGCAGAACAATTTTTCTTGTAACCTACAAGAAATGATCAATGATTGTTCTAATATAACTTATATATCAGCTAATTTTTCAATTTAGGAGATTAATGATGATCCTAACAGTTTGATGGTTTAACGTGGATTTCAACTCCCTAGCCTTCTACGTTACAATGCTGCCTATTTTGATAGGTGTTTCTTCCGTGATTTTATTGATCAAAGGCTCAGGAACCTTTTTGTCTAGGGATATAATTCAATCTGCAAAACTTAAAAAAGCCAATGCTCTTTTATTAACTTTAGCATGCTCCAGATCCTATCATGGCAAGCGTTTAATGAGCTTAGACGGAAAGGGAAAATAAAAACAATTGATATCAGACCAAGCAAATTTAACAACAATTAAAACAACAAGAAAGCTCCAACACAGTACATCAACCTGCACCATGAAAAATCAGGCTGATTCCATAAAAAGTGCAAGGAAGACAAAGAATGAAAGGTAGTATTCCTGTGGTAAAGGATTAAGTTAGTTCTCATTTGGCAATATGAGACGATCCTGCCCTTCCACTAGCTTTGCGGATTGAATTATATCCCCACTTTTTATCTGTGAAAGAATCTCTCTCCCAGTGGTTGTGTATCTGTGTATTGGAATCGCATATCATGATATTGACTCCAAAACGTAATTAGTACCACCAAGAAAAAGAATCCATTAAAGACATACCCAAAAACCGAAAACTGCCCTTCGTCGAAAGATAGCCCTCCTAAGCCAGCCTATAAGACAGATACACAGGAATACCAAGAAAAGGAAGGCAAAAGGACAATGACATCATGTGAGAGGAAATTCAGACTTTCTTTTTTTTTTTTTTTTAGTGTTGGATGGCACTTACATTTCTTTTATCATAGAGATAGAAGAAAAACTGATATGGTGCAGAGAAGTCCTCAGAAACCTCACTGTGTGCCATTGCAACTGCCCCGTAGACGGATAGTGGAAGAACTGGCAATTCTCCATCCTTCCACATGGAAAGTGGAAATTATTTAACATTGAAAAAAATATATGTTATGCTACTTACAATTGCATGGAACGTACAAAAATAGAAATAAGAGTTCTATACCTGGATACTTAACTTTGTTCGGTACAAAGGCTCAAATTGGCCCGATGGCATTATTTCTAAGGGAACACTGTAACCACTATTCTTATCAAGTCCATTGTCAGTGAGAACAGCTTGGTCAGTGAAGCTGAGCTTTGCCCCATTATATGCTCCATCAACTACCTGAAAGGCAGCACATTCCAATAACTCAATGTTTTAGTTCTGAGGCATGATTTTCACACTATAAAATCTAAGATAAAGCTAACTGGACAGGGAAAAAAATAAAAGGGAACAACATAGATCAAACCTTGTGATACAGAAAAAAAAGGGGGAAAAAAAAAGGATGCAATTGCATGTCAACTAAAACCAGACAAGGAAAAACCAAATTTGAGTATGGAGTTAAGCAAAAGGATGGAAAAAATAAAATTTCTACAAGGAAGAGGTGAGGTTCAACCACCTTACCAGTTTTGCAAAATTCCCTGCTGTTAATGGTGCTGAGTATCCATCTATAACAACCTGAATCGATGCATTAATCATCAGTTTGTATTAAATGTATGGTAACAGAAATCGGCAATCATTTGGACTATTACAAGTAGTGAAGGTATATTTATCCAATAAGGTGCTGATATTCATTGCTTATAGGAATTAGGCACAATATTTGGCCATTAACAAAAACATAATGTGTATAGTGGATAACATCAGCGGAACAACAAAATGGCATACCTCAAAGCACTAAAAAGAGAATGATAAACTGATTTGTCATTCATACAAACAAGCAGGTCATTTGAAACCAGAATTATATCTCGAGTAACACCCACTATGTGCCTCCCACAGGGAGACTCAATTTAAGAATTATTGTAGAATAGGTGTAAACATGTGGACAAGCTTGAACAGAGGGGGAGGAGGAAGGGGAATCCCCTTAAAATCAACGGGATAATTCAAGAACCAAGAAAAGTGAGTCCAGTTTAGTGATTTGGTTTGAGAATCGTTCAATAAACCAATAAGACCTTGCTTAAATATTACTCATAAACTCCAGGCTAAGCACAACATCATTCGTTTTATGGTGTTATGTATTACCTAACCACATTTTAATAACATGATAATGCACAAGCTCACAATATTTGAGGATCAGCCTACTTCAGCCAATATGTGCTTAGCCAATATGTGCTTGGACTCAGATTTCTCCTACATGACTGGCCATTGTAGTCATCCTTTTTTCTTTGCATGTAGATAGTTTGCCACGTGGTTGGGGGTGGAGAGGGGGATATATATGGAAAATGTTTTAGGTAGCAGAGGAGCTCGGTGATTAACACAAACTAATACCCATGTTCCTTGGAAACAATGTGAAAGCTTGCCGCATGGACATTCAGAAGTTTCTCAAACCTGAATTTTGGCATTCTTTCTTGGTTCACCACCAGCTTCTGGGGAAAATGTTGAGCCATCTTCTTTTTCAATGTTTAATTCAACAATTCCTCTGCCAGTTAGCCTAAAAAGAAATGAAAAGATGATGCCAAACAAAGCATAATTATCAGGCATAAGCAAGTCTGTCATACGCTAATCAAATACAACAATTGCAGATCAGTGAGCAGTCAAATTGACAAATTAGCCACACATAGAAGGCAACAGTTGAAACAAAATTGAAGTTAATACTGAGAAAATGGATAATTTTATAGAAACTAAGTCAAACTGCGAAAATGGTAAGGAAAAAACTTTTTTGCTATGATATATCATGACATAACTCTTCTTAATTATGTTTTCATGTCCTATTTTATTAATTTCTGAGTTATAGTGAAAGTAGTTGCAAGAAAATAGCTACTCATGAAAAGCAAGTGTGAGAAAAAGACAGACGTAAGCTGCAAGTCTTGAAACTCAGATTATAAGAGTAAATAACTGATATTTTCACTCCATGTGATGGACAAAAAACATTTAAATTGATCAAGGATTATTTTTAATGTACCACAAGCTTTCATTTATTGCTCTGATCTCCTATTCAGCTACAAATGATTTAAGAATTACTAAAAAAACTAAAAGAACTGAACATGTGACCGTTCATTTACTATAGCCACTGACTCATTGACACTATTCATAGAAGCTTGGTTTTTGTGTAATTTTTGCTTCTTTTTTATTCCTTTTCCTCTTCTTTCTCCTCTATTATTTCTTTCCTTTTTCTCCTTCTCTTTCCCTTTCTTCCATTTCTCTCTCTCTCTCCTCTTCTCTTTCCCCATCTCTTTTTACTTCTCTCTCTCTCTTTTATTTTGCCTTTTCTCTCTCACTCCTCTCTACTCTCTGATTTGGTCCTCTCTTTTTTTTTTTTTTTCTCTCTTCTATTAATTCTCTCTCTCTCTTTTTTTTCCCCCTCTTTCATTTCTCCTCTATTTTTCTTTCTCTTTTCAACATCCAAACGTTTATGATTATATTTTTGCAATGGGTTTTGATAGCATGGCTTTTAAATCCATTAGCTGGAATCACATTTAGATCTTTTTTGTTTCTTGGCGGAGCTGCTGTAGATATGGAGAGAATTGTATGACCGCAGATAGACTGAGCCATTAAGAGTAGAGAAAAGGAAAAAAAGTTAAAATATTTGGTATACATTATTTTATTTGGGTCAAAATTACTGATGAGAGTGGAGATTGCATCTGGGTTTACGGTAGAGAAAGGTTCAAGTTTTGGAGAGAGGAGTTGCTGGTGGTCGTGAGGATTAGGAGAGTCATTTAGAGATGGCATTTTAATTTAGAAATGAGAAGCTTTTTAGTTTTTCAAATTTTTTCACTTTACTTTTGTCAATTCATGTGCCTAGGATTGTATACCCGAACACATGATAACATGACTCTCACCTACAAATAAAATAGCCGAAGATTGTTAACAGAAAATGAAGACTTGATTGCCGATAAAAAAAATAATAAAATAAAATTGAGGCTCAAATCCAAAAAAAATAAAAATTGATATATCTTTGTTTAATTAAAATTTTAGGATACTGTAAAACCAATTAACGTAAAAATAATATTAAAAAAACTGGTTTTAAAATCTTTTTAGTGCCTCTAAAGGCTTAGGAGAAGCACCCTTAGCATATAGCTTAAAACACATTACTGAAAAGAAAATAACTAGCACAATAAAAAGATTTCTGTCATTATAAAGAAAGATTAAAAAAATGAAAAATTTTAATAGTAATTACTGTTTAATTATTATAGCTACAGACTCATCTGCATTATGGATAGCCTTTTACGAACAATAATATAAAAATTATACAACCTTTTATATTTTGGTTCTTGATATTTTTAAATGTCTTATTTCGATCTACATTTTTATTTACTAATATATTTTGGTCCTTGGATGTAGAGAGAAGGGAGGAAAGAAAAGAGAGATAGAAAGAGACGGAGAGAGAGACAATGCCGCCAAAGCTTATCTTGTCTATTTTGATCGATGAAACTCCATTAGATTTTTTATCTCCGAGACATAAGTTTGTCATGATGGTTTCAAGCTATTAAATAATTAGAGGAGGTAGATCGAGGCAAAAAAAAAAAAAAGAAAAAAAATCCAATTTAATTATTATTATTATTATTTTTTTAATGTGCATTAAAATGATTTTTAAGATTTTAAAATTATTTATTGACTTTATTTCAATCATTTAGAGGTGTTTGGAAAAAAAAATAATGCCAGAATTGAGTTTCTTGGGATTTGAAACTTGACACGATTTTTAGATAAGTTTGACTTCATTAGAAGTCGCAAGTTTTTTTTTATTTTTTATTTTTTGAGTTGGACAGCAGCCCAAGCCTAGAGAAGCAGCCCTAAGGGCATTGGGCTGGTCTGGCAGCACAGGCCTAACCAACTAGGTTCAATCTGACTGAATTGGCCTAGCGCGCGGGCCCACATAAGCAGCCCAAGCTCGCAAGCTTGGCTTTTTTTCTCTTTTCTTTCGATAATTTATTTTTATATTTTTTTATCATGAAATTAGGTGTAAAAAATATAAAAAATAAATCGTTATTTTTTTTATTTTATGTATAATTTGACGGTGATAGAATATATATGATATTTATTAAGATTTTAGTTTGAACATATATATATATATGTGTGTGTGTGTGTGTGTGTGTGTGTGTGATTATATTACTCTTATCGTTTAAAATTTATTTTTTCAATTATTTGTTTCTTATTAAAATTCTCATCAAATTCATTTTTTAATTTTTTGATATAATTTTATTTGTTAATAAATTTGGTTTTTACATATATATATATATATATAAGGTGAGAAAGGGAGGGAGGGAGCTAAAGTGTGTTTTAAATAATTTGACTCAATTTTTTTTAATTAATAATCGGTTAAAAAAGAATTTACGAGTTTTATTTGCTTTTATATATATAATCAGAATTTATTAGAACTAATTTTGTAGTAATTTTTATTTTAATCTATTCATTTCGATATATTCTATACAATTTAGGTAGCTTTTTTTTTTTTTTCCTATATACTCTAAATCGCTAAGTATGATCATAACGTGTGCGTGTGTGTGTGTATGTATATATAATTTTGTTTGAAATTAACTATATACATGCACATATAACATCAATTATTTGTTATTTATTTTTTTCATGTTCTAAAATTTATATTTTTAAATAAAATAATTTAAATAATGTTTTGAAAGAACCTCCTAATTATTCAAATACAAATTTTTATGTTAATATTATAAATTATTTTATTAATAAATATATATAAATTAAATAATTTCACTCAATATATAAATTCGATTTACATTAATCACTAAAAACAAAACTTTGACTCGCAACACATCATACGAATCGTTAACCCTATGTATGTAACGGTTATCCGACCGCAACGTAGCACGGGTATCTAACTAGTAGTATCCTAAAAACACTCATTTGTTAGAGACATCTATTGTAGCATGCACTTGGCAATTTCAGTTAAAAACATTTATTGATATCCAAGCAGAAGACTGACCTTGGATATTTCAAGTACTGCTGAGGCAACAAAAATGACAGCCCAGGAGCCTGTTGCAAAAAAAAAAAAAAAAAAAAGGCTTTACATTGAGATTTGCTGCATGCTTATATTTTATTTAGAAGTTTGTAGTTGTCTATATCATTAAATTCTTGGGAAAAAGACACAGATGACCATATAATGAAGTGGGAAAATTTTAAGGAATATATCTCAACTTTATGTATTTTAAGTAGCTTAAATGAGAAAAATTATTCAATATTACTGGCAGTCACGTTTACCTGCAGCAACTCCAGCTCTGCAACTGTATCCAGTGAAGAAGCAAGGCCAACAGACACTCTATCCGGGTCCTGATCCTTAATACATTGGAGGAGTGCTTGCAAACCGCCCTAGAAAAGGGAAGAAACTTAGTATAATTCTAACAAGTTCTAGCATAAAACATGTAAATCAAGCTTCTTGTTAGTTTCAGTATAATTCTACCAAGTTCTAGCATAAACATTTAAATCAAGCTTCTTGTTAGTTTCTAGATAAATCATCCACAACAGGAGATAGATTATGTAACTTAGATGGAGTACTGATGTATCGTGTGTGTATACATATATATTCCTACATGGAAGCTAGCATCATTAAGATTATACATTGCAGAACAACATTATATGTTTTCATTTTCCACTTCCAGTAAAAAGGCACCGATTTCTGGTTATGCTCCTACAAGGATAGCACAGTGGATTTTTCTTCTCTGTGTATCTGTTCTAGTCGAACAATGAGGGTATGATTTTCTCATCAAGCTAACAAATTATCTCACAAAAACTGAGCTAATAAACTTATGAAGTTTTTTCCAATACCTTCCCATCTATTAGAGATGCATACAGTGTAGACCCCTTTTCCTTCAAGTCAGCTGGTAGACTTGCCAGGATAGAATCCTTTTCATCCTTTGCTATCTGAAATAAGAAGAGAGAAAATTTCTCATGTAATAGTATAAATTTAACTTACACATTGTCAATGTGTGGAATTAACTGTTTGCAATGTCAAAGAACACAGAGAATGGGGTTGGAGAGATTTGAACTCCTGATTGCTTGGTCATAGATGCTCTGATGCCATGTCAAAGAACTATCTCAACTCAAAAGCTTAACCAGTTAGGTGACGCCCTATAATATAATTTATATTATTCTAACATGCAATACTAATTATTGTACATGTTGATGTGGGAAATGAGCTGAGGCAGAATAAAATCACTAATGGCATTATGCCAGGAAACTTGAGCAGATGAGGCTTAAAATGTAAAATAAAGTAAAACTAACAAGAAAAACACAGTTTCCGATTTCAATAAATGCACATTCAGATAACAAGGGACTAAACTTGTTCAAATAAGAGGTAATTTTCGGTGGAAGCAAATGGTTTGGGCCCATGTCTAAGCAAGAAGACAACAATTGAATGAGAAAAATCATGATGTGAGATCCCAGAACAACTAAAAGAGTGGAAAGTATCTTCCTAAACAAAGATCTCATCTGACAATTTTATTAATTGAACCGAGCTGCATACTTTTGAACAGTACTGCTCTGACAATATGACATTTATCTTGTTGAATCAGAATAGTGTAGCATGTACCGTAAGTGCTTTCTTCACATTGCTCTCCATGGTTCCATAAGGCTTTCTTTGTGGAATTCTTAGCAAGTATGAAATGTCCTCCAGAGAATTCTAGAAGCAAAAGCAAGAAGATCTGCAAACTGATTACTTTCCAAGTTAGGGAAGTTATTTAGAAATTTAATTGCTAATGACAACCTGTATGGACTTCATGTTTGTGTTTGCTGGGATAGCTCTTCTTAACGCAAGCTCCCCAGTTTTGGGAACCTTGGTGTCTGGAGAATAAAGCACTGCTTTTGCTGGAGAAACACACCAAAAGTCCCAACCACTCAAAGGTAGTGGTGCAGAAATTTGAACAAAAATAAGTATCACTGCAATAAGACTCTTCAGTTTCTTCATTCCGTTTCCAAAAGACGACGTGTACAAATTAGAAGGAAAATCGTGCCCATATGCCAGTTCCTGCATGACTGAAAAGCCATTTTAGAGAGCACTAAGCAAAAGAGGATTATAATTTCCTTTCTTAGATCCATAAGGTAGGTAGCCTAATCAGTGTGCAAGGAAAGAAGAAGTGAGAAAGTTGAATTATTAAGCTCATTCACCTGGAGTAAAGGCCAAAAAAAAAAAAAAAAAAAAAAAGAGCATAATTATGGATATAAATGAGGGTAAACTAAACAGTTTCTTTAGTGAAACTGCAATACATATCAGGATCAACATATCATGTTATTTACTATATATTGTTGGTCAATTGCAATTAAAAATAGCAATGACGAAGAAGAAAAGGGCATGAATATATTGCTATAGTTCGCTGTTGTGATATCTGAAGCTGAGGAGACTTACATTAGCATTACATGTATGAAGAAACCCTAAGGCTCAAATCCAAACTTAATTTTGCAGTCCTAAAAAAATTGCAATTATTCCTAGATTACTAATCAATTTTATCACCAGAAGAACAGAACTATCAATTCATCAACACCATTGGTCTAATTCAAAATCTTTAATAACATTCCAATGAATGAATAGCTGAAATGCCAAAAGTGAAGCTGGAGGGAAAAAAAAAGAGCCCAAATCCAAATTTTGGTTGACTAAAAACTAAGTAGACCCTAAATCCTATTCCTATGAAAAATCATTTCCTTGAATAGTACATTGCGCCATCAGCACTGAAAATCCTTCATTTTCTCTCGTACAATCACAAAATTTTGAAGTATAAATTGAAGAGGAAATTTAAAAAGCATAAAACCAAACCTTAGAAAAACTTGTCGTGGAGTTGCAGGCAGAGACTGTAGGTCTTGCTATGGCTTGGCTACGGGCTCCACTGAGTCGAAATGCAAAATGAGCAGAGAGGAAATGGTGTTTTTGTATCGATTTCTGAGAGATGGAGACATTGAAGGAGAGCTTCTTGTGCGAAATGATAAAAGAAGAAGAAGATAAAGGGAAAGCCATGACTTTGGTAGTGCTTGTTGGCAGTTGATTTGTGAGAGTCGGACAGACAGAGACTCAGGTTTTTGGCGCGTCTCATCTATCTAGACATCCCAGCTGGACCTTTTTCGTTGGCTCATAAGAACTTGAAATGATTTGGACGCCCCCATACTTACACAATATTATCCTTAGGCCATTCTTTATTTTTTTTATTGGTTTTTCCATTTTTTATTCCTAGATGCTAACCAACTGAAATGGAGGAAATTAAAAAAAATAAAATAATAATAAGGCAGTACTGGTGTTTTGTAATTAATTAAGTTAATGGATTCTCTTCATAAAAGAAGAAACTAAATATGAAAAAAATCTAATATAATTTTGATACATTATCATAACCAATTCATGTGTTTTAATAATTTATTTATAATTTGTGTTTTAAGTACAAAGATTTTGCTTGATATTTAGTAAATTACTTATTTTTAATTTTTAATCCTTATTTTGATCTAGTCCACTAGAAAAAGAGACCACGAATTTAAGTCACAATAGCTATATCAATAATAGGCCTAATTTTTAAATCATAAAACAGATTTGATCTTATTTTTTATGAACTAGGAAAAATATGAAAGTACAAAAAAAAAAAAAAAACAATTTGTGGTTTTTAATTCTAATTGGGACCTAATTGGATGTGCCTTTTTCAACCATAAAATTTTCTTCTTTTTACGAAAAACAGAATAAAAGATTACAGTTAAGTACTAAAATAAAACTACGTGCTAATTACAGGGACAAAACAGGTTATGTAAAGCTCATGTTGGACATCATCATTCCCAGAACCAAACACCAGGCACCACGAACCCACACATAAAAAAAAGTCGGGAAATCCAACGGTCAATGGTCAGATCCCAATCATCAACCATTATAAGTCGCGTAGCACTAGATCCCCGGACTGTGAATCCCCAACTTCCCAGAGTAAACTTTCTTTCAGACTGAAAATCACGCAAAGCAAAGCTCACTGATTCTCTCTTTCTCATCGATCTGATGGACTCTTTCAAAACATAAAAAAATTTCCACAGATCCAACGATGGCAAGCTACCTTGCTCAATTTCAAAGTATAAAAAATTCCTGCGATCACGTCGTCATTGCAGGTAAACAAAATAATTTACATTTCCTGATCAATTTTTTTCTTAATTAATTTATTTTGTGTTTGCTTTTGCAGTTGAAGATGTGAGTGATTTATGGCCGAATATAAAATCAAGATTCGAAGAGAGACTTCCATTTAAAAGAGCTTCCTTAAATAACAAGACTCGAAATCCAGTTTTTGTAGAGAATTTTCCTGCCGAATTTATACTAACTACTGATTCACGACTCCGCAGTCGGTTTCCTCAAGAACAATCTTTGTTTTGGTTTCGAGAACCTTACGCTACTGTTGTTCTCGTTACTTGCGAGGTATTTTGCCTAATTAAACTCGCACATTGATCTAATTTAGTTATAATTCAAAAATATTTATGTTAAGATGTTTGTTTTTTGTTAGGATCTTGATGAGTTTAAAACGATACTTAAACCCCGGTTGAAGTTAATTACGCAAAATGATGAGAAGGAATGGTTTATTGTGTTTGTGTCGAGAGCGCATCCAAGTAACGATAATGCTGTTAAAATGGCGAAAAAGGTTTATGCTAAGATTGAAGTTGATTTCAGCTCAAAAAAACGGGAGAGGTAAACTTGTAGGTGTTGACAATACATTTTAATTCTAATTTTATGTCGATAATTGAGTGCTATTTTTAGTTTTATTTTGATTCATATGATGCATTGTTAGCTGGATTTGTTGTGCATTCTTAGCTTTTACTTAATTGTTACTTTATTGGATTGCTTTATTTTTTTAAGCATTGCCTTGGAAATGATGTAATTTTACTTCGTTTGAATTTTTTTTTATGATCTTGATTTATGGATCCACTCTTTTGTGAAAAAAAGAGTGTGATGTCTGGATATATTCATGGATTATTGTTGTTGAGAATCGATTGCGAAAGCTGGGATCATTTTCATTTTCATCTTCTTAAGTGATGTTCATTTTGTTATATAATTGGAAATGCAAGTTCAAAACTCAATTAAGTTTATATGCTGACCACTGCTCCAGTATTCTGTTTAATTGATATTGCCTACGAAGTTGCACTATCTTTCTCTTTTTTTCAAAATGCTTCAGTAGTGGTGCATGATGTTATTTACAAAAGCTCTGCTTTTCCTTTTGTTTGTTTTTTGAACATGTGCTTTATCCAGGTGCTGCAAATATGATATTCATGGCCCTGAAGCAAATTTTTGGGAAGATTTAGAATCAAAAATTATGGAGTGTGTCAGAAACACATTGGATAGGCGGGTACAGTTTTATGAGGATGAGATACGTAAGCTCACTGAACAGCGGTTCATGCCAGTTTGGAACTTCTGTAATTTCTTTATATTGAAGGTTGCTCCTTTTCTCAAATTATTTCCATACTGTGATAAAGGGTGCTATAGTTACCGGCAAGAATTGCCTGATCTGGATTTAAGATGTTGGCTCCCTTGTTTTTCTTTTCTTTCTCATGTGTATTTTATATATCTTGAAAAGCATAATTATGAAGCAATGTCTTGTAATGGCTCTTCATAACTGGTTGTCCACAGACTATTAGTGCTGATCCCAAATGATTGGGGAGGCTCATTTCTAAGAAATCTTTTAGTTCCTTGCAGCCATATCTGTTATGCATCACATTTCTTCAGTTATTTCAGGGATTCTTTCTTCCTCTAAAGATATGTTCTGTTCTCAGGAAAGCTTGGCTTTTATGTTTGAGATGGCTCATCTTTATGAAGATGCTCTACGTGAATATGATGAATTGGAACTTTGTTATTTGGAAACAGGTAAGTGTGTGCATTGTTTACATGATTTGCCGTCTTTTCTGTACAGGTACTTAAAACACTTGCCATTCTTCACTTGGTTCAAATAATAGTGTAATAGTATTCATACTGTATTTCTTGTAGATGAGATATTCTTCTTAACAATCTGAATAGGCTATATATGTCTATATTTTATGTTGAAAGTTTCTTAAAAAATCAAACCTGTGTATCCTTACTGTTTTTTGAATGATAAATTAAACTGCAATCTAGCTGCTCACACATGATCATAGATCTTCTCTCTGAACATTATGATTTCAAATTGATGACTGAAAATCAAACCTGTGTATCCAATCTTGCAGCTAGAAGTTTATAGATTTATGGTTGGTTTTACTTTCTCTTCTCCCTTGATAAGTTGTTAGCTGGTCTTATTGGATAGAATTTATACTCTCCTCGCTACCTCTGCTTGTTTGATCACCAACTATGACATACTGAATCATCACAACTAACTTCCTCTTGCCCCCTGACCAGACTAGAAACTCTCAACTGGCTCTCTCTTAACTTTTTTGCTTAATCATCTTGGAGATCAAGGATTAAATCTTCATTCTCAATTCCTTCTACTTTAGGATAGTGAGATTCCTTGCTTGGGTCAGGCTTGAGCACATCAACTTCATTTTGAGAACATTCTAGCTTCCACCATACGATGGTATTTCGGAATCTGAGACTAAGTTACTGAAGGTGGATCACTATGGCACATATAATTGGAAGACAACATCTCATTCTTCTTATCTTACAAGGTGGAAAGATGAAATTACTCACTTTAGCAGCTTGCTATGTTTATAGATTTTATGGACTTAAAATGTGAAAAATAATTTCAAATAAAAATCTATGTGCTTTAGCATCTTCTTATCTTTATTGAATGCTAATTAAGCTATTATATTGCATTCTTGTTTTGCATCTGAATTATTCTTCAATTTGACATATTCAAAGCATGATTGATAATACTATGGCAATATCTTCATTAATCTTATATGGAGGCATTGTAAAATCTATTATACTGTGTTTATTTGTTGAAGAAATATTCAATACTGGAGTTATCTTAGCCCTCATGATCACATCTTTGAGCTTTTTTCATACTTATGGTCATCGTTACACTCGTAGCAATACATGCTTTTAGCATTGTTGGATAGCTGAACATTGTATGCTTCCTGAGCAATAATGGATCGATAATTCACACAAATTTGATGCAGTTAATATGCCTGGAAAACAGAGAGACTTTGGAGGAGTAGACCGTGGTGATGATTTGGCAGCATTGCTTAATCCTGAAAATAAACCATTGGCACAGATTGTTCAAGATGATTCATTTAGAGAATTTGAATTTAGGCAGTATCTCTTTGCTTACCAGTCAAAGGTATGGAAAGCTGAGAATTTTTTCAATCCGCTAAAATCTTACACTATGATGCACTTAATTCCAGAATGAATGAGAAAGTTTTATGTTTGTTTGCTTTAACCAGACAGATCTTCTTTGTCTATGCACACTGCTTTCTTTGAGCTTTTTTTTTTTTTTATTTGGTCATAATTAATTCTCAGGATTCAGTAGTTAATTTGAGTATTACACATTAATTGATTTTTTATGCTTGTGATTCTTGCTGGAATAACAGCTCGAGTGGATGCTGGATATATGCTTGGATTTTTGATATTTTTGTTTTGCCTCTCCTCCGTGTGTGTGTAATCACACTTGTGCCTACACACATGTGTGCGCACACACAACCTCTCTTCTGCCTAGGGGTTTTGGTTTATTTGTGTCAAAAAAATCAGTTTGTAGCCATTTGCTTGGGTATTACATGATTCAGAACATTCTCACACCAAAAGTTCCTGAGTTTTTTCACCATTATACATTACTCTTAAAGGAATCCGGTTCAATTCTTAGGATTTCATGCTTTAACCTAATTATCTTGTTTGACTTGCAGCTTTTATTCAAGCTGAATCGTCCCTATGAGGTTGCATCAAGGGGTTATTCATTTATAATTGGCTTCTCGCAGGCCCTCACATTGCATGAGGTATATGTTTTGCTTTGCTGGGTTTTTTGAGCTATAGTTCAGAGGATTTTATTTCTGATCTCTCCTTTTCATTTCCCTCTTTCCCCTCTCCTGGCTTTCCTCTTAGAATATGCTACCTTTTTGTATGCGAGAAGTTTGGGTAATAACTGCTTGCTTGGCTTTAATCAATGCTACTGCTTCTCCTAATTATGATGGACTTGTGGCACTTGAAATAGAAAAGGAGTTCTTTCGCCTTAAGGGTGATCTTTATTCTCTATGCCGGGTTAAGGTAAAATTCTTTCTTCTTTGGCTCCATCTTCTAAGCAACAGATGATGCTGCATCCTTTACCTTTTCAACATTTTTATCCTATATGCGCCTATTCTCTTTTGGGAAAGCAAGAATGAAGTTTGACCCGAAAAAAAAAAAAAAATGGTACTAAGACTATTGTGCACAGCAGTTGTTGTTATAATTTTTCTTTCTTGTTACTTCAAATTTTGGTACAGAAAGGGCTTTTATGAAATGCAATTGTGATTGTAACAGTTCATGAGGCTGGCCTATTTGATCGGATATGGAACAGATATAGAAAGAAGTCCAGTCAACAGGTGAAAAATCCAATTATGAATTGCAAATCTACGCATTGCCTCTTGTTTATTTTGTGCCTTGGTCCTGTAATTAGAAAGTAAAAATTTCCCGTGTCAAAAGTTCTAATTGAGTTGTTTATAGAAACTATTATGTTTTTATCATATCATTTACATTATTATTATTATTTTTTTTTTTAATACAGTGCCTTACTCAGCATGCTACCTTGGCCCAAGCCTCTGGTTTGGCCTTCAGTTCCACCTGATGCTTCCTCTGAGGTTCTTGAGAAGGAAAAGGTACGCTTTAGGGTGCTGTGTCCAAAACTGGACCAAGGGCATTGGTATATATTTCTGTTTTTTGGTTCTGTTCTCTTAATGGAGAATTATGTTATTACTGTGATTTTCTTTTATTCATAAATTGTTACTGATTCTGCTAATTATAAATGGTGAAAATCACAGAGTTTGTTGCATCGACCTGATATAAGAATCTTGCTAATGAGCAAAAGGCAATTAATGACATTTCTACATGGTGAACCCGATTGGTAGCTAAACAAAATGGTCCAATTGACTGTAGTTTTAACTTCTTATTGAAAAATTGACTATTTAAGTTGCCCTTGATAGAATTGATGACCATGTTTTTCTTTGGGCAGGTGATCCTTCAAGCTACTCCTAAAATCAAACATTTTGGCATCCAGAGGAAGCCACTGCCTCTTGAACCTTCTGTACTTCTGCGTGAGGCTAATCGGCGAAGGGCTTCTCTTTCTGCTGGGAATATGTTTGAGATGTTTGATGGTCGCCAAAACTCAAGTGATGGGTAATGGACTTTGAGGATTGAGGCAACGTCATACTATCAATTCTCTAAGAAGCAAATTCTATTATTGATATTGCATAATCCATCATTTTCATTTTTGGTGCATGCCAATTTGATTATTTATCTAATTGATACATAAATACAGATCAGCTTCAGATGCTTCATCCAGGATGCCTCTGTCAAATAAAATGAATGTGATTTCTATGTTGCGGACTAATTCTTCTCCTGGAAATTTTGACGGTTCAGTAGATCGACCTATGAGACTTGCTGAGATTTTTGTTGCTGCTGAGCATGATCTGAAGCATACGATTTCTGATGCTAATCTGTGGAAAGCTTTGTCATCTGTCGAGGAGTTTGAGGTATCCATTTCATCCAAAATTGAAGACATGCACATCCTTCTGTATATATATATATATGAGAATTTCATTAATTGGAAGGACAAAGTAGGAGTTCGCCGTACTACAAAGCAAACAAAGTAATAGAAAAAACTCTAAAACAACTAATGATTGACAGAGTTGCTAAAGTTTTGTCTGGCACAACTATATCTAGGATCAACAACAGCTTGCTGTAGAACATTTGTTTGAATAAGCCTGAGCTGCACTGAATAATGACTTGGAACAATCAGAACTGCATCGACTGAGCTTTCCGACCTTCGAATTCTTCTGTTTCTTTCTTTCTATATAATATGTTCATATCTGCACTAAGCTAATCTCATCACCAAGGATACAAAAATATTTTGCAAAAATTGCTTAGCATAGTTAAACTCCTTAGCCCAATTTCCAGAAAGTCTTTTTGCAGAACTAATCTGCAAAATCTTGCTGGTTCTAGAAATTCTCCTGGTGTCAGGTTTTATCTTAATTGTTTTGCACACTCAAAGTCTCCATGTATATTAGATTAAATTTAAAATCAAACTTGTTTAAGTGAAAGTGTCTCATAATTCTTAATTGTTTTCGATAAGACTGCCTGATCATAGGCCTGGGAGGGATTAAAGTACCAACCGTCCATTGAAATCTTAACTAAAAGAAGCTTAAAAAGATAATACCAGATTACCCAATTGCTATTGTAGTACAAACAGAGATTTTGCTATAGCAAACATTGGACTTCAGAAGTTCTTCATTGCTGTGTATTCAGTAATTATAGTTTTGTGCTTTGATTAAGAGTAAAACCTTCTAACCATGATATTGCAGTTGGTAATTTTTGTTGGAATAATTGTGAAAACTGTCTACTTCTGACAAAAGATATTTTCGGTCAATGCCTGAAAACCTTTTGTTTTCAATGGTGAGCCATAGCTAGCGATCATATTCGTATTCCTATTGTTTAAAAATGCATGAATGATGGAATATTGTTGCTAGATCAAGTTATTTGTAGTACAATCTGCATGCCAAAAGTTTCAACTGAATTTTCATATTCTTAATAGATTTGAACAGTTGGTAATTCTGAACAGATCTGTTCAGGGTTGTAAGTTCTAAACTAGGTTATGTTTTGGGAGGTTGTGAATGCTTTGTGGTTGACTAGCTCATATTCACCCCTATCCTCCGACCCCTCCTCCCAAACCAACCCCCAAACACTGCCTCACCTATGCTGCCCCCCTCACCACCCCCCCCCCCCTTCTCTCTCTCTCTCTCTCTCTCTTGCTTAGTTCACCAATTGTGTGTATTCATGTCTTGGCAGCAAAAGTATCTCGAGCTTACCAAAGGTGCTGCTAACAATTACCATAATTCCTGGTGGAAAAGGCATGGAGTTGTCCTTGATGGTGAAATAGCAGCTGTTTGCTTCAGGCATGGAAACTTTGATCTAGCAGCAAAGTCTTACGAGAAAGTTTGTGCCCTTTATGCTGGTGAAGGATGGCAGGAATTATTGGCTGATATTCTGCCAAATTTAGCCGAGTGCCAGAAGATGCTAAATGATGAAGCTGGTTATTTAGCATCTTGTGTGAGATTGCTGTCTTTAGATAAAGGTTTATTCTCAACAAAGGAGCGCCAAGCATTTCAAGCAGAGGTTATTCGTCTTGCACACAGCGAGATGAAGCACCCTGTGCCTTTGGATGTGTCATCACTGATTACATTTTCTGGAAATCCTGGACCTCCGCTGGAGTTATGTGATGGAGATCCCAGTACTCTATCTGTTACTGTTTGGAGTGGCTTTCCTGATAATATAACCCTTGATTCACTTAGCGTCACTTTGACTGCTACATTTAATGCTGACGAAGGTGCTAAGGTACAATTTTCCTGGACATATTGATTGTCATGTCATAATTATTTAAGAGCAGATATAATGTGCAATACCAGTCTTCATAACTCAATAAATCTTCCCATATTTCAGGCATTAAGGAGCTCTACTGCCACCATACTGAAGCCGGGTAGGAATACCATTACCGTAGCTTTACCTCCTCAAAGACCTGGTTCCTATGTGTTGGGGGTTCTTACTGGCCAGATTGGTCAGTTGAGATTTAGATCTCATAGTTTTTCAAAGGGTGGCCCAGCAGACAGTGATGATTTTATGAGTTATGAAAAGCCCACTAGACCTATACTGAAGGTACTAGTTTTATGCGTAGTCAAGGATTAAGACGTAGGGTCATGTAGTCTGGTAATTCCTTTTGGTTATATATGTGCACTGCATTGCTTATCTAATGAAGCCCTTCTTTCTTAGGTTTTCAAACCAAGATCTCTAGTGGATCTTGCTGCAGCAATTTCATCTGCTTTGCTAATAAATGAAACTCAGTGGGTTGGGGTTATAGTACGCCCTATTGACTACTCTCTCAAAGGTGCTGTCTTGCATATTGATACTGGTCCAGGTCTGAATATTGAAGAGTCACATGTCATTGAGATGGAGACCTTTGGCAATATATCACAGAGCAGTACGGAAATGGCAAAGTCTAATGGCACTCAAAACAATTGTTCTCCGTCTTATAAAAAAGAATTTCAGCAGTTGAAACTTCAAGATGGTAGAATAGAGTTTCCTGCATGGGCAAGCGACACAAATTCTGTTCTTTGGATTCCTGTTCGTGCAATCAATGACAAACTCCCTAGAGGATCATCCTCAGGTTATAATAACAATTTGCAACTTTTTGTTGAGTCCATAAATTTTTGCATATTTACTGTTGCATCCAATGATGTTCTTGGCTTATAATATATTTGCTTTTGTGGCAGTCACCCCTCAGAAACAGAGCAATCTAGATGGCATGAGGACAATAGCTTTGAAACTTGAATTTGGAGTATCCTACAATCAGATATTTGAAAGGCATTGTCCTTGTCCATCATTTCCCAGATCATAGTGCTAATTATTTGTTTTTTTTTTTTTTAATGTCATTTTTTCTCATTCCCTCTCCTTCTGGAAAAATACTGCTTATTTTAGTTATTCAATTATTTAAACTTGACAAATCATAGTGCCTCAATTCGCAGGACTGTAGCAGTACATTTCACCGATCCTTTCCATGTGAGCACACGTGTTGCAGATAAGTGCAATGATGGTACTCTGCTGTTGCAGGTATTCTGCAATTATGTTAAGCCAAGATATTTTTACTTATCCAATTAATGCATTCTCAAACTGCTGACATTTTGAGAGATACTGTGTTAGCAGGTTCCATAGAGTTTATGCTATGCATAGAATTATAAATACCACAAATTATATTTATTATTTTTATTTTCCATTTCATTTGAATTTCAGAATAGTTTGTGTTGCTTCCAGGTGATACTACATTCCCAAGTGAAGGCTACATTGACCATATATGATGCTTGGCTTGAACTCCAAGATGGATTTGTTCATACTGGACAAGGAAGTGGAAGACCAACTTCAGACTTCTTCCCACTCGTGATTTCTCCAACCTCTAGAGCAGGAATCATGTTCAGTATTTGCTTAGGAAAAGTAATTGGAAAAGGTATAGATATTTTATCGTGTTTAAAAGAAGTTTTTGTGCTCATAGCTGGTCCAAAATCAAACATACATCTCATTCATTTGCAAAGCATGCTAGTTTGTTTGAAACTATGAGCATCAAGCTTTTAACCTTATTATGAAAGCATCTTGCTTTGTTGTGTTTACTCGTAGAGAATTTTCTAGTTTTCTAGGTAGCAGAGAGAACTACTATAAGTTGTTTCCAAATTCTCCACTTTAAAAAACAAGCGCCGTTTTTGCTTCATTTGTTATTTAATCTCTTTGCCTTTTATTCTTTAAGGACAATCCAAACTAGGCCCTTGTTTTCAATTTTAGAAGCAATTAATTAGTAAACATATCTTTTTAGTTTTCTTTGGAGAAATGATTATAGAACAAAGATGAAAAGTGGATATGAAAATTGAAAACTTGTTTGAAGTAAACATAAATATCTTTAGTCAATCTATTTAATCCCTTAGCTCTGATGTAGTCAGGATAATGCTGTACTTCTTGGTTTCTATGAAAGATTGGGAGATGAGGAAGTGAGCAGCTTGCTCAATTTGCTGTATTTAGGATTGGAGCTGCAAAACATTTGAGTTATTGAAAATATCTATTGACTTGCTAACGCTATCTTCTCACAGATTTCTGCTGGCCTTCTTTTCAACTCGTTTTTATTCCTAAGTTTTATCAACTCTAAATTTTTATTTTCTTTTCCCTTCCTGCTTTTGGCTCTTGTTGATATGCATGTTATGTACATTCTGCATACTTTTGTGCATTCTTCTTTGTATCTGCAGTACATTATGCCTTAAAAATTCTCTTGGATTACAGATGAAGCTGAAGCGCTGCAGCCAGAGAGCATACTAAATATCCGATATGGAATTTATGGCGAGAGAACAAATGGAGCACATCCTCCTGTTGCTGTGGAATGCACGGAACCTGAGGATGCAAGGCAGGACTTGATCTTCAAGAGTGCTATTGTACTGCAGAGACCAGTGCTTGACCCATGCCTGGCTGTTGGTTTTCTTCCTCTTCCTTCCACTGGCCTCAGAGTTGGACAATTTGTTACCGTGCAGTGGAGAGTTGAAAGATTGAAAGGCTTCGAGGACAACGGAATTTCTGAACACAACGTAAGTCTTGATGAAAATTTAAAACAAGAAAGTTCCTGCAACTATCCTGAAGTTCTGATTACCTTTCGCACATAGGCTTTATTGTCATGATTATTATATGCTTATTGTTGTTGTTGTTCTTTTTAGTGCAAGTATTATTTATAGTATTAGTGATAATATTAGAATTGGTTTTAGCAGCAAGTGCTTATTACTAATGCCATCACATTACTACTAAGCAAATTCATTGTTCTGCTATCTCAGGGTAGTTGCTTGAGTGATTTCAGTTAGAGCAGTATATTATCTGTTCCTTTCCCTGAACTGAGACCTGAACTGCAAAAACAGGCATATTATCTAGAATCTCTATTAATGCTAGGATTATTATTTTCACTTTTTTTTTTTTTTTTTTTTTGTCCTACTTTTGACATCCCTTCTTTCTAAAGATAGAAAAGAAACAGTGAATGAATTTTAGATTCTCTTTTTTTATTTTTAGCAATTAATAAACTTCCTTGACATTTACAGAGCCTGAGATTGCTGATTTGCTGTTTCTCTTAGTTGGAATGAATTTCTGTTTGCATCTCCTTTTTCTTTTCTTTTGTGCATGCACATCTGTGATGCATGAAATTTAAACATGCTTCAACATATTATTCAACTATTTTCTGCTCGTTCTTTTTTTGGGTTCTCTCAGCAGCCAACTCAAAGTTTAGTGTAGTGGAATGAAACCTTGATAACATTGCTGGTGAACTTTGTTTTCTGGGAACTCCTGATGTCAGAATTCAGATGTCAAATTCTTGAGAGCATGTGAGGTGGAACATAGGAACCTTGTAATTCTCCCCTTTGTGTATATCAGTTAGATGATGTAAATTATATTGTTCCTTGCAATGAATAAATAAATAAACAAACAAATAAGTAACGAATGCTATTTGTGCAACAGGGTGAGGTGCTATATGAAGTCAGTGCAAATTCTGAAAATTGGATGATTGCTGGGAGGAAGCGAGGGCATGTTTCTCTGTCCACAAACCAAGGTTCCTAACCTACTTAGTTCTGTCATTAATTTTTGTTAGATGAAATATCTAGTGGTTACAGATTTCAAAATTTTATTTTCTGATGCATCATTTTGTGATTTTCCTTTCGTTTTGTACCGGACAGGTTCAAGAATAATTATCTCAATATTATGTGTGCCACTGGTGGCTGGTTATGTCCGTCCTCCACAACTTGGGCTGCCAAATGTTGATGAGTCAAATATAAGTTGCAACCCTCCTGGGCCCCATCTGGTTTGTGTCATGCCTCCAGCTCTCAGCTCTTCCTTCTGCATTCCGCCTTGATTGTTATTAGTTCATGCATTCCAGTTATTCCATGTCATCATGGTTTTCCACTTGAAATGGTTGGATAGCTTTTTCAATTCAATCAAATTACAAACATGGTAATATGTTAAGCATCCAATTTAGCTTACCTCTGAAACTTGTAAATTTGTAAGTTCACAGCAGTTCGAGAATCAAGAACAATTAGTTGAGTTGAGTGAATTTTGATAGGGTTAGGCTGTTCTTTTTTAGTAGCATTGTTTGCTATGTAAAGTCCTTGCTTTTGTATAGTGGAACTTTGTATTCATGTACACCATACATAATCAAAGACTGACAGAGTTGAAACTTTTTATTTCTCCTTCATTTTTCCGTTTTTCTTTTTTGATAAAACTTTATTGGTTATATATTTTGATGTTTCTCTAGGATACATTGCATTTATACGATTGTTCTGGAGATCTTGCAGGCATTGTTTTATCTTTGAGCAATTGTTGTCATTTTGCGTCAATTTTTAACAGAGGAGAATGCACAAATAATGAGTTGCAAATTCTGTTAACATCTAGATGGAGATATTGGCTTCTTCCACCTTTTCGATGATCCCCTGCCATTCGTAAGATCTTTGTAACTTCACTTCCAGTTCTGAAATTAACTATTTGTGCTTCAAAACAGACTGTTTTGCTTTCCATATTAGATCCTTTTCGTGAGTATTCTCCTACCCAGTTGAGCTAGAGATGTTTTAATCATGACAGCTGGTATATCCGATCCTAACACTGAAGCTTACTAACTCCAAACCTCCCTATGAAATCGGCTCTTTCCCCCAATCTCTATGCATCTACTCCCTGTAGAAAGCTCTAGCTTTTTATTCTCGAGTTTAACTTGGACACTAGTAATCAGACAGGCTGCATTATGATGGTGTTTTTTTATTCTTAAAAAAAAAATGATTAAAAAAAAAAATCCTGTTACCAGTAGATTCATTTGCTCTGGTAGTTGGAGGATACTTGTTACTCTACATCTTGACAGCACTGCACTTTTAAAAGTATATGAACAGCTGAAATTCGTTGATAAAAACAAGTTCACATATTTCATCATCATTTCAGCTGATTTTCATCTTCGAAAGCAGGTATAACTTCTTACACACATTGCTAAGTAAAAAAATGTCATACAAGGTAGTCAAAAATAGAGAGAAAAAACCTACATTAGGATGCGAAACGTGATGAGAATTGAGATACGACTGCCAAGGAATTTTAGTTTATACCGACAAAGCTCGAACAATTGTTCTTTTTTCGTTCCTAGAATGCCTTCAGACTGCTCCTTCTCCGGAGGCTCTGTTCCCTCTTCACATTTGGCTGATTTTCTTATTGTATTGCCTTAATTTATTCCAGGCTGTCTGCATCTCTTCCCAATTTTATTTTCACCTTCTCCAGAGACTTCAGTTCTTTAGGTTCTTGTGAGTGATCGTTCAAGGGGAGAGAGCTTGGTGGATCCTCCAATCTCTCTAGACCCGCAAATGCAACTAAACAAAAAAGATAAGGGAAATGGTGAAAGCAATGGAGGGTGGACACTTGGGCATACTAACAATGTTCAAACTGAAATGAGACAGATGAGGAAGAAGATATCTACAGATATGACTTAAAAGGATACAGATTGAGAGCCATACCATCTTGGCCATGCATGTGGTTCAAGTTCAACTGCCTGCCTGCCTTCTTCTCCCACTAAGCATATAAAGACTCCCGAAACACACACAGGGACTGAAGAGCATTCTTACTGTTGGGATCGCCCCACTCCACTGATTCCCACCATTCTTTGGGATATGCCTGGATTCTCCGAAGAGATATTTGGTCAGGATGATAGATTGGAATCCTCTTAAGCTTTGGGCAGTTAACCACAAGAATTTCTTGTAGAGAACGAGAAATCACTACCCCTTGGCAAATGCTCTTCAGCTCTGGTAAGTTGTTTAATTTCAAAGCCTTCAATTTTGGGAGGTTGGTAACTGTGTAGCGGTTGATGCTGCTATTGCTATCTTCAACCATCGTGCCTTCTTCCTCTATAGCTATTATCTCCTCCATTTTGTTACAGTCATCAACTTCAATCACTTCCAAGTTTTTGAGATTTGGCAACAAGTCAAGGGAGAGCAGATTCTTCATGCTTGGACATGCACGTATTGTCAATGTTTTAAGATGGGAAAAGGTACCATTAGATTGCAATGGTGGTGTAGCAGCTCCTTCTCTTGTAATGAAGACACAAAAGTTCTTCAAAGTTTCAAGGTATAGGGACTCAAGTCTTTCCAATATATCTGGGGAGGATTCTGACATTGAAGCCAAGCACTCTATCCCATCACACTCCCACATCCCAACTGACTTTAGTGAAGTTGCATGTTTAAATGGAGAAACATCGCATAAGCTTCTTGCGTCATGGCATCTTCCAATTGACAGAGCTGAAACATCTTCTGGGAGCTCAAGAAACCTTCCTTTTTCACCGATATTGCAATTATGCAGCAAAACTTCTTTGTAAAATACTTCCTCCGGTGTCATATAAAGTAAAGAATCCATAGTTGGATCCACGCCTAGTTGTCCTATTACGAAGAAGTATGTGGTTAGAGGTTGCCTCACTTCTGGAGATTTAAGGTACTTCTTGAAGTCAATGAGATCACAGAATTGGTATCTCAAAGTTTCCAACCTCTTCAAGCATGCTACTTCCTCTATTCTCAGAGTCTTGAAAAAGCCCAAAGCCCGGGTAAGGTTGAGGAATTGCAGACTAGAGAGCTTAGGTAATATGCCAGCAGGCAACTCCTTTAGACTGTTCCCATAGAGATTAAGATACCTGAGATGGTATAGCAGATGGGCCAAATGGTGTCAGTCATTTTATCCTTTCTGGTGTAAGCTATTTCAGATCAATGAATTTTGATCCAAGTATTTCACTGTCAAAAAGAAGGAAATGACGAGGAAAAGAAAAAGGATACCTGAGATTGGAGAGCATTTCCATGCCTTGAGGCAGTTCTTCAAGTGCAGTGTAACGGAGATCCAATTTCCTCAACTTTTTAAGCTTTGCTAATGATGGTATATGCCTTAGCTTCTCACACCTTCTGAGATATAATGCAGTGAGATTCTCCAGATCAGAAAAGGAACTTGGCAATTCTCGGATAGCAGTGCATGATAGATTAAGAACCTTGAGCCCTTGCAAATGCTTGAAAAAGGAATCCGCAATCATTTCTAGCACGATATTTGAGGATAAAAACAATGTTGAAAGCTTGGGACACATTGGTGAACAGCCAGAGGGAATTTCCTTGAGCCGATTTTCCACTAAAGAAACTCTCGCAAGATCCTCTTTCCACTCGTCCTCGTCTGGTAATTCTTTTAGTTGCTCCCTAACTTCAACCATGACTGAACAGTTCTCCCTCAGTTTCTGAAGAGCCATATCTCGAATCAAGTCATGCATCTTGAAACATCTGTAGTTTTCTTTGCTTATATGACTTTGCAATAAGCAAGCATTTTCAAGTTTGTTAAGAATAGCCTGACCTTTATCATATTCTGCCTGCCTGCTCTTCATTGGTTGAATTATTCCCTCATCGATCATATACCCTATCAAGTCCTCTCTATCCACAGTGAAATCCTCTGGAAAGAATGCACAGTATAAGAGACACTGTTGCAATGCTAAGTCATTCAAGCGCAGATAACTAAATCTCAAAATATGGAATACCTCAGGTTCCATGTCATCTGGCCTAACTTCTGATTGTTTCAATTCTGTCAAAGCATTCCTCCACTCATACAAGTCATCCACTCCCCTCATGCTTCCAGCCATTGCTATAATCCCAAGCGGCAGACGAGCACATTCTGCTGCAACAGATTTTGCTATCTGTTCAACTTCAGGAGAAAGTGCAGCGCCATGCCCAAGTGTCTCCACGAACAAAGTCCAAGCTTCTTCTTCAGTAAGAAGCTCCACTTTGATGCTTTCTCGGCAACCCATCCGGCGACAAACTTCCAATGATCGAGTCGTCAGAATCAACTTGCACGCATTCACTTCAACAGGTATGCCCACCTTTTCCAGAAGAAAATGATTCCACAAATCATCTAGAATGAGAACAGATTTTCCCTTTGCAGCTAATGCTTTAGACAACTTTGCAGCTCTTATCTTCTCATCATCTTCTTTTGAAAGATCTAAATTAATAGCTTTGGCAATATGATACTGCAATTTACTGATGCTAAATTCTTGTGATACTGTAATCCAGAACACGTAATTAAAAGAACTTGGTCTTTGTAGAAGCTGATTATGGATATGCATGGCCAACGATGTTTTACCGGCACCTCCCATCCCATAAATGCCAATACTTAGGACATCATCCTTCATTAACCAAGACCAGATCATCTCTTTATTTCTGTCAGAAGCCTGACCTACAAGCTTTGTTGTCAGTAATGCTTCTCCTTTAGCTTTATGTGTATCAAGCCCTTCAGAAACTCTATATTCGTTAGTACCTATAGACGCTCCTCTTGTAAAATTGTCTGTTAAATCCTCCACTCCCGCTACCGAAACATCTGCCCCTTGCCCTTCAGAACCTTGGCCAACAAGCATAAACCCTTCTACGGTTATGCTCTCTGTCAAATTTTCCCTATTTAAAATGTCAGAAAGATCTTCTTCTTGACCTTGAGAAAACCTTGATCCACCAGCTTCGCCAATAACCATCCCTCTAATACTCTCTGTCCAATCTTCGTCTACCATATCTAGCAGATCGCTCCCTTCCCTCAATTCTTGCGGTATTCTCTGAGTTTCCACATTTGGAACTGTATCAATAGGTGCCTCCAAATTGCTAGAGCTAGGCTTTGTTTTCTTTTTAATTGCTTGGTAGGCTGCTTCTTTGACATCAATGGGTACATTCCTACAAATACTAACCCCGTGCCCTCTTTGTCCTGACAAATGATATTTGATCCTTGAAATTGAAGTAGTCGCAGCAAATGTAGACTTGCAAAATTTGCACTTGAAAATACCACCATCATGTATCTTCTCAACATGATCCCAAAATGGATCAGTGTATTTAACCTTCTTCTTTTGTGGGCCCTGCAGACACCAAATCAGCATTCTTTATTCTTTGTTCTTTATCGACGAACAGACACATAAAACAAATAGCCATCAAATTGTATGTAATTTACCAGTAGCCTTTTTAGCTAAGCAGTAGTGACCGCTTCTACAGAGGAGGTCATATGTTCAAAAACTATTTATGGAGAATTTGAGCAATAATGCATCGCTATAAGAGGAGATTAGACTAATTCCTTTTTTATATATATATATAATGGTATTTTATAGAATTTAAACCATGCCATTGTTCATGTTATTGATTCATATATTAGCATTCCTTTAGTTAAAAAAAAAAAATCAAAATCATTTTTATAGAGTATAACGAATTTTTTTTATAGATAATTTCCAGAAAAAAAAATCATCTAAAAGCACCATCAATTTAAGTTTAAATCGATCAAAGCCATATGTATTTTTTTTATCAAAACACTCAATAGTTAATTAGTTAACTAATATTAAGTTGGAGGTTAACGATTGGATATTTTGGTATCTGTGTGTGTGTGTAATTTTGGATTTGAGAGATTTAAAAATAAATTGATTGGTTTTCTAGATAAAAAGAATTTATAAAAGTTTTCTGATAATGTTTTCTTTTTTTATTTAATAATAAAAGATATTTTTGGATTAATTTTTTTCTTTTTATTTAATAGTTAAAAACATTTTTGGTTCAATTTACGTACTAATTGAAACTAAATCTTATTTCTAGATATTTTAAAAACATACTTGTTACATCAATCTAGTGTATTCAAGAGAATTTAAAACCCTTAAAATGTCAAAATGGCCTAAAGTGCCAAGAGGAAAAAAAATGCAAAAATATAATCCCAAAGGGAAAAAGAGGCAACTCAAAGAAAAACAGAAGGCATAATGGTAAATAAACAATTTTATGTGTACGATAATATTCATAAAAATTCTTATACATTAAAAAATTCTAAAAATAATGAAAACTAAAAAAATTCCTGTCGTCAGCTTTCCTAAGCCATTTATCTTTTTACTTGAAATTCTTCCATTTATCAGTCAAGGACACATTGAAACTCTTTCAAACATTATGAATACATTGAAAGATTTAAACTATAGAGAACATATCTGAATATCCTTGAAATTATAAGGACTGCATATATTTCTCTTAAAAACCGTGCCAAACTTCTTCACAGTTCTTAATCGTATCATATATATCGGCTCCTATACTGTTTTGATTTTCTTATCACACGTGGCTTCTTTATTATTTTTTTATTGGATGTTTCTTTTTATTTCTTTTTAATATGTTATTTTTGGTAGAATTTTGTCCAATTTTTTCAAGTAGAATTAAGAGACAAATAGACTGATATGTTAAATAAAACTAAACCCTTGAATGATAAAATTTTGTTACCAGTTTATTCTTATATGAAATGTCATTCTATCTGTCATTTGTTAAGGAAAAATTAACCAAAATTTTATCGAAAATGCCACATTAAGAGAATTTCTAAAGTAAAAAAATCAAATAAATAATAAAAAATCACATTAAGAAAATTAAAAATACAAAGATGAATTATGTGATTAATCATCCGTTGTCGATATCGATCCTACTCGCTTTCATGTACTATTATTAGTATTATGTTCTACAAAAATAATTCTTGAATAAAATTATATATGTGATGTAATGTTAATAATATTCTTTCATATATTATGATTATAAAACCATGTTATAGAGTTTGGCAATTTCACTATCCTCTTCATGATTAAGAAAATATTTTATGAAACACTTTTATGTTCCAAATATTTTTATTTAATACCCAAAAAAGTACTTTTATAGGGTTTAAATTTACTTTTTATTCATTATTTTGATATTATCATTTCAGATTTAGTTAATAAAAACAATTTAAAAAAATGATATAATCTATTAGATTAATAGAATTGTTTTAAACTAAAGTATTTGTGAACATTATAGTGATTATATATTTTTTTGTAGTTAAAGAAATTCATTAGTTTCTCACAAAAGATATATGTTTGTATTAAAATAAAAACACGTTACATAATATTCAAATTAGTGGCGGATTCAAAAACATTTCATTAGTTGGGCAATGTATATATGTGTGTTAATTGGTTCAATAGTACTATCGCTCAAACAAAATTGATACTTGAACTTTAATTTTTTTTTAATTTAAGTATCATAATTATTTTTTAATTTATAATTGAGTCGAGCGTTCTCTTTGACCATCATCCGGACACACTTTTTCTCACATAATGATGACATGGTTTAATAAATAAAAACCATGTGGATCCTTTTAGCCAGCTTATCCTTTTTGCCCATCAACTTGATGCAGTAAAATTACAAATTACCTTAAACCCTAAAATTAAAATAAAAGATGGGATTATGAGAAAACCATAAATTAAAACAAAAGATGGGATTTTAATCGGACCTCTCTCTCTCTCTCTCTCTCTCTATTTCTTTTCCTTCACACTCTTCCCTTCCACAACCACAAGCACCTCTTTTCCCTCCCTCCTCCTTCGTCACCTTTACCACCACCTCTACCATCACATTTGGTGTCACCTACACTCGCACCATCGTTGCCCTCTCCTTCCTATACACCTTCTCTCCTTATAGATTGTGTCCTCTTTGCTCTTAATGTTTTGAGGTGAGATTGGTGTGGGAAGGGTGCTTTTGATGCATGTTTGATTGGTATGATGGTTATTCGTTGGTTTTTTGTTGTTTAGTGGATTTGAGTGATTAGGGGTTTTTTTTTATTATTTTATTTTAAGAGATAAATGGAAGATGGAGCTTATTTGTTACTCGGTTCGAGTAGATTTGACATTTCTACTTTTTGTTTGATGGATTGGAATCGAGCACATCCTTTGATTTGTTGTTGTTATTGTACCGTAGAGATAGTAGCAAATAGGAGTTGATTCTAGGAAGTCCAGATTTATTTGAATAGCCCAATTATTGTTAAAGATTGGGTAAATCACAATGTGTAATAAAAAGTTGTTGTAGATTTGATTAGATAAGATTTTTTTTTTTTTTTTTTTTTTTTGAAGATCTATATTGTACATCCTAGATTCCTTCTTTTAAAATCTATATTGTAGATCTCAAATTTGCAATGATTGTAAGTGTTCTCTTTCTTTTGCATTTTTTTTTTATCATTATTCTCAATTTTTGTTGAATGTGTTAAAATGTGTTATTTGATGGTTGTTTTATGTGAACTAAACCACCTATAAATTTGATAGCTTGTTGGGTCAATTGAGATTGATAGGCTTGAGTTCCATGCAATTTTGGACAGTTTATGAGGAAAACCGAGTAAGGGATGAGAGAGGAATTGAGAGAAAAATAAAAAAAGAAAAACAAAGTTTGCCAATTTAAATTAGGTATGAGTTTTTTTATCGTTTTACTATCACATATCTATCACATGTGTTTGGATATTAGTCAATAAGATTGTTCAACTTGATTGAAAAAATAGTTATTATACTTAAATTAAAAAAAATAAAGTTCGGGTAATAGTCTATGTTTAACTAATTGTATAGGATACTATCAAACCAGTAACTATATATGTGTGCATAATATACATGCACCAACCCCAAATTAAAAGCTAGGCTAATAATTAAGGGAGTTTTTTTTTCTCTTCCTTGGTTTTTCTTTTTTTTTTTTTAATTTGGGGCCAGCAATTTGAAGAATTTATTCCCCTAACTATTGACGAAAAAATTGATATTAAAATCTCTTGAATATTGAACTATATATAAATAATATACATTCACAAATACAAGTAGAAGTAGAATATAATCCAAAGATAATCACTACAAAATAAAAATTAGTAAGATAAAAATGAATTATCTTTTAATATTTAATAATTAATAATTGGGATATATGTGTCATAAAAAATCTTCCAAATAATAATCACCAAAAGATTTACACTAGCCAGCTAGTTCATTTATAAGTATAATTAAAAATTAAAATAATATTTGTATTTTCATGTTGCTGTTAGAAAGTTCCAGCTCTTTCTTTCGAAAAAGAAGAAGAAGAAGAAGAAATAAAAAGAGAAAGGAGTATTATTTTTATTACAAAAATTATTTCGGAAATTTAATTTTAAGATTTAAGTTAGTTTGATTACACGGTGAATATGCTACATAAAGATGATAAGGAACCATGCATGAAATTTTATGAAATTGTTGGAGAGTTGGATTTTGAAGTTAAGATGTGTTTAAATTTTCAAGCACTAACAAACGGCAAGAACTTAACTTTCTTGGTCTTGTAAATTTGGTCTAAAAACAAAAAGTTCACGTCATTATCTTATTGGTGAAGTTGGTTACACTGCTATAGTTTAAATATCTATGCCTTTGGTACGCACGAAATAATTCAATTTCTGATAGAGAATTCGATCGAGGATGAGTTTTTCTCAAACGAGAGAGCTTATGTTGGGGGCATATTTCATAATTTTGATACTGAACTCCAGCATGAGTTTTTCTCAAGTAGAAGATTTGTTGTAGGGAGCATATTTCATAATTTTGCTTATAATTATTTTTATTATAATCCTTCTTTAATTATATATTAAAATTTCATAGACTTTGTTACCTTTTATTTGAATATTAGGAAGTTAGCATAACTCTATCATTCTATTTTTATATTATTTTTTTCTTTTTCTATTCAATATTATTAGGAGTTTTTTAGTTTTCTTATTTAAAGAGTT